ATTGGCTTATCCTGGATGATTAAAAACTAAATGCTTTTACCTACAATGTTAAGTTCACAATAACACATATTAATAGGGCAGTAATTTTTTTGAAAGTGCAAGATTTAGTTTAGGATAAGTGTTATACAAAAGATCTTGTATTTTCAGGTTACAGTGTTTAAAAGGGATGGTATTCAAATGTTTGTAAAATGATCTTGCTAAGTTTACACTTGCATCAGTACTACAGGTATCACTTTTGCCTTTACATGTCATGTGACCTGTATTTCATTCAGTATGTCTATTTTAATACTTTCTGTGCTTCTTTCTTCAGTATTTTAATATTAGATGATATGGCCCTTTTTTTCTTGAAGTGTGTTATCTGGTATGTTGTATCTTATGATTCTTTCTCAAATAACTGCCTGCATGGTATAACAACTTAATTGTGTTGACTAGTGTAAATTGATAATTTGTTCTTTTCTACTTTTACTTGTACTCATTTAAAATGTAGCATGCACACCCTATTATGATGTTTTATATACCCTCTTTTAATTGGAGGTGGACATACATTTATTATGTGTTTCAGCATGTAATAAAATTGCTGACATTCCACATTATGTGTAATTAAAGTTTCCTGTCATTTACAGTTCTCAGTGTATACAATTTAAAGCTCTCATGGAGACTGTATGCAATGAACTCATCTGAGGGTCTGAGAAGCATACCTCAAACTGCTGATTGCCTAAGGAGACTTTTCAGTGTCTTTGGAGCATAGCATAGAGACATTTTTTAACTTATAATACTTGTATTTGGTATTGAGTGGTTGACCTTACCCACTGAGTCTCACTTTTAATTTCTTTTGTGAGCCAAAGAAATGTCTTCGTTTCAATGATGTGTTTGGCATTAGGTTTCTAATCCATTGCGTATATTTAATTACTTTGGTTGAAACTGTGGGTATAATAGGGATGGTGTGGAGTTTTAGTACCATGTCCACTGGGTAAGGAACTTGTCATTGTTACAGGTTTCGTTCACAGATGGCAGTGAACTCGGGTGTAAAGTCACATTTGTTTATCTGTGAATAGAACAATTACAAGTGATATAGTCGTAATTTTTTTTCGTGATGACTGCAGGTCAGAATAATAAGAATTGAATAAGTTGAGAAGTTAGTTTGTGTAGTTACCTATGTGCGACAGAAAATAATTCCAATTATAATTTATTCAACAATGTAGGTAGATGAAAAATACTGCATGTAATTATGCTTGAAAATTACACTATAGTGAAGCACGCTACGTCTTCCTTGTGATGTATCGCAGTAGTAGAAGAGGGAATGTTGGTATGGTGGATTGGTGTTACCTCAAGAGTGCAACTAATATCTTGTTTGTTTATGTAATTTAATTTTTTATTCTATTCGATGCGTGTTGTATGTAGAGTGCAGTAAATGTAATTAGGTATATTGGAGACATTCTTGGCATATATCGTACAATGAATCTATAGAATGTAAGTAAATACCGACTCATGTTAAGGTGAAGTCATTTCAGGCTACTTTATATAACTGAATGTCAATTGTGCCAATGCGATGTATTTGAAGTATATAATGAGAATTGCAAGTTTTATGAATTTATAGACTACCCACGAATTAAATACCGAAACCATTGTAATTTTGAGAAACTGAAATTCTGAAACTATTATATCTGCAGATGACAGCATTTCTGGTCCATCAGGCATGTGGAAAGAAGTTAAAATGAGACTTCACTTTGTAGACTGACATTAAGCTGAAATTTCCAAAAGCATCAGCTGCCCAACTGACAAATTCATGTTTGAAAGTGGTTTTTGATCCTACATATGATCATGTTTATGTTTGGTTTTATTTCATCAAGTCATGTCATGGGTGCTGCAAGTTCTTTTTTTGAAGCGATAGCAGCAAGAAAATGTGTTTACAAACTAACGTTTGGGCCATAAGTTGTAAAATAATTTTGTATTTCAGAAAGAAGAAAACTTTTTTTTTTGCAATTTTATTTTGCTTTTTTCTTGTTTCATTCCAAAAATACGGAGATGTCTGGTTTGCATTTTTCTAAAAGTTTGTGCCATTTATCATGATGAAATGTACTCAGTACATTATTTGTTTGGTCAGGGATAGTTTTATCATTATAAAAAAGAAGTTGGATTTGGAACTTCCTTCTGAGTATAGTAACATGTGCCATGAATTTTATAATATAATGTTTCCTTTACATGATGTAACATTTCAGAATTGAGTATAATTTTAGAATTTTCAACAGATGTAAGGAGTGAGATTAGAAATTTTCATTGTTGTTTTGAATACTTTCATATCATGACAAACTTTTATTATTGGATGGAACAGTATTGAGTAATTTGATTTCTGCATAGTTAGCATCTTTCTGATAGTTAGTATTGTTAGGATTCACAATGTGGATATTATGTTTATGTCTTGTGTTTATACTATGTATGTTGCAATTTGTCAAAAAAAACATCTACATGCTATCCAAAGTGAATGACAGGAGAGTAAGAATTCACTCATAGGGGTAAGTATATTACATTTTTTAAATTTTTCTCTATAAGATTCTATTTTACACCAGCCATTGTTCTGATTTTGTTAAATACTATTTGCAACCTGTTGAACTTTCCCATACATTAACTCCATGTCATGATGGAATAAAAATAAGCTTATTAAACTAATTTTAAACTATCTCATGGCTAAGCATGCTGAACATTGTTTTGTTGTTAATATATTTAACTTGTTTCTTTTTACAATGCATGTTTTTATGGATTCATAACTTGGTTTACCTACTTCTTCAGTTGTATCATCATAACCTTTATTTAAATTCATATATGTTTTGTTGTTAGAAGGAAATTTCATTAAGTTTATTTTGCCAAAATTTAATGCAAGTTTCTTGGCTTTAAACCATTTTTTCAGGCTAACAAAGACATCGATCATTAATGAAATTTGGAAGTAGTCAATCTTTGGTGGAAGTGGTATGATTGAGAATTGATGCTTGGGGATTGAACATTGACATGTAAGTGGAAGAACAGGGACCTGAGTATTGAATGTTGCATTTTATGTTGCCTCAGTTTGAATGTTTGAGTAAGTCTTGTAAATGTGAGACTTAGAAATGTGTTAAACCTTAAATCAAGGTCATGATTATTACATACCAGTTTTCATTCCTTCTTTGTACCATCTATATTAGTGGTGATGCTCAAGCTATTATGATTATTTTGTTCATGTAATGTGTTCACCAATAGTTTGTAAATCCTGAAACAGGTGTGGCAATGGTTGTCATAGTCAACATGATGCACATTTTTGCAAAAAAAATTTCACTGAATTGCACAATGTCTGTTTTGTATTGTAGTGAATTGTCATCATGTCTCAGCCAGTTATTACAGCAATGGACAGCTTAACAGCTGCTCTTAAAAGCAATATAATCCCAAATCAGGAGTATCTTTTGCAAGGAAGTGTTCTGGATTCTGCAGTTGAAGTGTTATTACATCGCCTGCGTGGCTTATGTGACAATGTTGACTCTGGTCCAGAGACATTTCATGATCATGAGATGTGCTTCAGTATTCGTAAGTATCATTGTTGCATGCGATTGTCTGTTCAAGCTGCGAGGCATGCTGGGTGGATAGTCCTTACAGAACAGAGATTTCTGTGATAGTCTGATGATGGTCTCGAGGTTTGCACAGCGAGTGTATTATTTATTAATGCATAAGCCAGGTTTAATTGTGTTTAAATTAATACTTATATACAAGAATTTTTTTATATTTGATGTTTCTAAGTTTTGGTAAATCCTATTTCTTTTTCTTCAGGGGGAGCTAATCTTCAGCCATTACTCTTGCGTGTGAGACGAGCTCTTGATTATCAAGATATGCCATGGCAATTAAGGTATATTGGACAACCAGAAATTGGTGAGCTGCTTACAAATATAGTGTTCACCAGTCATTTGCTTGTTACATTTAGTGTTGCATGTATATCCATCACAATTCAATAAAATATTGCAAATGAATCACAGCACATACCTGTAGTACTCAGGGACACATTAAGAATACAGAAAATAAGATTGAGCAACCAAGAGACTCCAGTGTTATGACAAAGGAACCCTTAGTTAACTTCATTGTTTTAGTATGTTTGATTTTGCTGATCAGAGAACAATAAACACAAAGATGTATGCTACTGTTTTAAACAGTATTACCCATAAGAAGATTTGTATCAATTGTGGATTATTTCACAGGTGACAAGTCCAGACCCACCATTGTTCGCAGCAGCATAGACATTGGGACCAGCTCAACTGTAGTTGAATTCCTCACTGAACTGGGGTGCAGGATGGATTTTGAATATATTGTGAGGGGTTATATGTTCCGCAAGGGGCGAATGAAAATTACAGTTTCAAAAATATTCAAGGTAACTGTTTGTCTGTTTTCAGCTGTTAGAAATGGAAACATGAGCTGTAAGCTTGCCAGAATGGTAGTAATTGCACAAATGGAAATTTTCTAAGTGGCATAGTGTTTAGCATTTATTTATGTAGTTCATATTACAGTTGGTAGTTGGCTGTTACAGAATTGTTGGTAGCAAACAGTATGCAAAACAAAAGTGTCAGTGAATTATGAAGGTGCATTTGCATTTACATCTTTTGACTTCTTTTTAAAGTGCCTATCCGTTCCACATGTTGGCGATCAGCATAGCAATTTGAGCTATACTGGCTGCTCTTTTGACTGCATGGCTAAAACTAATTTAGTTGTGTACAGTACATTATATTTGAAATTTCTCCTTTTTAGATATCGTAATATTTAATTTTGAAATTGGAGCTGGAAATGTGATTATTTGCTGTTCAATTCAGTTCACATCCTCACAGCCTATTTTAATTCTATCCTACTTGTCCAGTTCATTGTGAACTCTGTGACTTGACTATCCTAAAAATACTAGGAGAGCTGTATAAATTACGGAGTTCATCAATATGCATTACGTCTCATTTCCACTTGATACTGTGCTATCAGTCTAAATTACGGAAATGTTGTCAAGTTTATAGTACTGTTGTATAAACTTTGCTGACCAGTAAAGGAACTATGTTATTCTTAATACTGCCTCTCATACAGGTGGGACAGGTGGGGCAGGGAAAGCCTGCAGAAAGCATGGAGCCCATGTCCCAGTCATACTTGGTGGAACTGAGTGTGCTAGCCCCCAGTGGACAGGATGCCATTGCTGAGGACATGCGCAGTTTTGCTGAGCAGCTCCGTCCTCTGGTGCAGCTCGAGAAGATCGACTACAAGAGGCTACAGCATATTCCATAAAGACACTCTTTATTACCTTGACTGTATTTACATTTCACATGCTATTTGGGAATATTACCATTTTTGTGGATATATTGAGATTTAAAATCAATATCATCATAGTTTGTAAATAGTGCAGTAAATGTGGTTATAAAGAAAAATATTTCAAGCAGACGTTTAAGCTACTAATTATGTGTATATTTTATGTTAGCTATATTTTATGCGTGTAATGTATTGTATAAAGTGAGGCTTTCACAGCGACTGAAGTTGATGAAAGTCTCTCGGTTACAAGCCACATCAGGTGGCTGAATGGTGAATAAACCATATCTTCTGCTCTTTCTAGGATGAGAGCAGAGATAGTTCTCGAAACGTTGGCAGAAGATATGGTTTATTCACCATTCAGCCACCTAATGCAGCTTGTAACCCGAGAGTCTTTCTTCATGTATTGTTTCCAAAATGGAGATCATATACATATATAAAATTGAAATTGTGCTCTTAGTTACTTGCAGTTGTGGAATGGTAATATTCATAAAAATAGAGTAACGCTTATAAACTTTTTTGAGACTTCTTTTAGGACATTTATTCAACAGTTGATATGCCCCTAGAGAAAAGTATACTCGGCGTGGTTATGTTGGGTCTTCTAATCTTTATCATCAGTTTCATTTATCATGTTCAAGCAAAGCTGTATTGTGAACTCCATTTTAAACCTCACTGCTGTATTTATCAAACAGCAGTAAGGCCTGAAAGCCAAATTCTTTCAACCTTGTTTGCAGATATTCATCTCAACATTTCAGTATGTTTGGTTTTTGTCAGGTTTCTCTTTATTTTAATGGAAAGGAAATTTATTTATTTTCAAGTAAGTAACTAACTCCCTGGTGGCAGAACCTGCAGGTCCAATACTCACAACAAATATCTATAAATTGAGGGCTGTAATACAGACATAAAAAAAGTATTTGAATGCACATGGGTATGGTGTAAAGAAAGTGAAAACAAATATAGCTGGCCCAAGTTTTCTTTATCAGCGGAAGGAAACGGAAGATTTGGGGTTGTGTTGATTGCCTACATACCCAATACAGCTATGATAAACCACTGCAATGGGCAATAAGTTACATGAGGTTCAGTGTGAAATGGATAAATGTGTGATTTTTAGAGCTTTTGTGATCATGGTATTGAAAGTTGTTATCCATAATATGGAATTTATCGACCATATATTCCCTGCTGAAGGAAGGCCTTATACCATGGAGTTAATTTATGTACAAGGTATATTCAGTAAGAACAGACCCAAAAAATGTGCAAAGGACAGAGTCATTTCTGTATTTGTAAGCTGTGGAATACATGGGAAACATCACTACAAATGATCTACTAGCTACAACCTGAGGCACCAGCACATTTGTGTGTTCTTAAAATCTTCCGCCATGCAAAGTGTTTCTTACATATCAGACATACAAATTTTTTTTCACCTGTATGAATTACTTTGTGTTCTTTAAGGCCTTCTTTGCGTGCAAATCGTTTGCCACAATCCTCACAGTGGTGTGGCCGCACACCACTGTGCATTATTTTATGACTTGCAAGTTTTCGACTGGTGTTAAATGCTTTGTTACACACTTCACATGTATAAGTCTTTTGATCATTGTGATTTAGTTGATGGTTCATCAGACTGGGAAGTAGTGTGTAACCCTGTCCACAAATCTCACACACAAATGGCTTTTCAGTCCTGTGCACAGATTTGTGATTCTTTATGTAACTTCTTGATGTAGTGGAGTAGCTGCATTCGTCACATTTATAAGGCTTAACGCCTGTGTGTATACTCATGTGCAGAGCAAGGCCTTTGTCATAAGCAAATCTCTTCCCGCAATACTCACAGACATAGGGTTTTTCCCCAGTGTGTATGCGCATATGTACCTCTACCTGGAACTTGGAGGGGAACGACTTGTCACATGTGGGGCACTTGTGTTTCCCCTTGTGGATGTGAAGATGTGTTTTCACAGCACCTGCTGTTGAATAATCCTTTCCACACAAGTTACACACAAAACGCTTCTCAGGTGTGAGGTTACACATGTGAAATGTGAAGTTACTGGTGTACCTGAATGCTTTGCCACACTTAGAACAGCCATAGGTATTACAGTCTGAAGTCTCCTCAACTTTGCTTTGACTTTTGTTTGGCTTTCTTACATTTCCAAAAGTGTCATTTTCTTGTATTTTACTACTGGGAGATTTATCATCATCACTTCCTATGTCATCCAAATTCATTTTCAATTTTCCACTGTCTATGTCAGAATGATTGTATTGGTTTGCTGAATTTTCCAGGACATCACTTTTACCCAATAAACATGCAGTATCATCACTTGTAGCTCTGCAGTCTTCTTTAGCATTCCTGTGTGTGTGTGAGGCTATGTTATAGAATGGAGATTCTGTCTTTAAAGGACTCCCTTCTGCTTGCTGCAGCAAAGAGGCATTCATTGTAGGTAAATCATCACATTTGTTTGTTTCTAAATCTCTTTCATATTTTACTGACTGTTCTATTAACACTTCTTGTGAAGAACCACCTGTACCAATATTTCTTGCACTGCAGTTACGTAAAACATCATCACAGTGTTTGCACTGTTCTTTGAATTTATGCCATGCATCAATGCGATTACAACATTTATTACAAATCACTGTTGGGAAACCATCATTGGTAGTGACCTGTAAAAGATATTGGGCACAAATGGTGAATTTGAAAATGATACAGTTCATAATTGTTTAAGGCAATGATTGTTAAATATATCTAACAACTAACTATAAACTAATATTTCACCAGCTGAATATGAAAATGTGCTAGGAAAAGGGAAGTAAAACATACACAAAGCGAATCGCTTTGTAGGATTTGAGGTTTTCACGGTGGAGAGTCTGAAGATTGTTGTCTTCCAGGTTGTTGCAGTGTAGTCTGGTAGATGTCCATCAACATTTCAGAGGTCCATGGTGCCTCCATTATTGGCCAGATGATTGAGGCAGCATGGACTTCTGAAACTACAAGGCACAACAACCCAGAGGACAGAAATTTGCAAATTGCTCTTTTACAAATAATCAAAGAATTTGGTGGATTTTATAAATTCTGTTGATTTTCAAGGCATGACTCCCATCAAAATTATCACAGCCGACCACGGGCGGACTTAATTACAGTTTAAGTATTTATTGTTAAAGACGAAATCTAAGTTCATTCAGCAAGGCTGTCAATAAGGTTCACAGTGTGCAACATCTGTTAAAACTAACCTCAATTCCGATATATTTAAAAATTCTAGACGCGATCGGAAGTGATGTTCCATCTTCATAAAAAATTGATAACATTGCACGTTTACGCGACAAGCATAGCCGACATACTTTATTGGTGTGAAATACAGTTTCCTTTCCAGCAGCATTCATTGTTGATATTAATTACATTATACAAATACTTGTAATTTAAACATGCTATAACCACTGGCCACAGATGACTCTTCAAACACGTAGTGCAGAATTGGTCATTCTATATTTAAAAACCTGTGATCTGTGTAAACCGCAAAAAATCGACGTACATACCAGATATTCGTTGCAAACGATTATAATGGCGTTGTAATTCAGGTAAGTTGATCGTTCTCCGTTAAGGTTAAGTTAAACGTCTACAACATTAATAGTTATCTTTAATTCATAGTTATTACATACGAAAATAGAATCAAATGGGAAGAATATTCAAAGTTTAATTTTATGTATATATAGAACTAACTAGATGGCTTAGGGAACCCGAAGGTTCATCACTGAATTAACCAAAGCACACCACCGGTCCAATGTATATGTATATAACAGAATATTTTTTCCATTTCACAGCCCTTTCATATTATAGATATAGCAAAATAGTGGCCTATGATAAATTCAGAAATATATGATTCAAACTTTGGACAAGGTTGTCATCATGCCCAGGAATAATATTGAAATAAGCCATGACCAACAACTGCATTCTTATCCAAAATTGCGGACGTAGTAGTTACACAGTTTACCAGCAGAAATACAGATGGGTTTATCCCGCATGAAATATTTTGAAGAAGATGAGGGTTGAAGTAGGTTGTCTTTTGTCATTATGATTTTGTCTTTGTTGTGTCCATTATCACAGTTTTGCTCAGAAAGTTCAAAGTAAAACCAACATATCTGTTGTTATTGCTGCTCGTGGTAAATGTTGTGTTTCTTAAATCTTATTTGAATATAGATGAGTGTGGGGAAATCCATGAAAAATCTTGATCTGGATAGCTGACAACCTATCCACAGTTTGAATCATCTCTCTTATGAGTAAAAGTCTAAAAAATTGTAACTACACCAACCTCTTCAGTTATTTGGTATAATCTTCAGCACATATCAGAGTGTCATTATCATTATGTAGTTTTGGCCATTCCAGGAAAGATACCCAGTGTCATTCCTCTCATTTGAGGTACTAGTGGGTTCACTGTGTAGTGGTTATAATTTTTGTGCTATAAGTAAGTTTCCATGTGACAGCTGTTGTAGCCCAGTGAAACTTAGTGGGTAAGTTTATTTTTTCAGTACCTCTACACTATTCTGGTCTTTGCAAACCAAGGCCAGTCAACCAACCGTAAGGCATTCATTCAGCTTGTGAATATGAAAATCACTGCTGACAGTTGATATAGCTGTTCTCAGTTCACTTGCAAATCAGTACATAGCAAATATTACTTAATAGTGCTTTGGCACAGGGGTTCCTTCATATTTCCAAACAGAAATGCCACCACTACATTGAAACTCTTACTTGATTACATTTTTCTGAAAATGTGTTTGTTTCTTGGCTCTACAACCCGATTGTGGGTTTTTGTCACCTCCTTTTTCGGAGATTTCTTGGTCTTGAAGTGTGCATTTATGAGTAGTCGGTGACCAGCCCACTGACAGCACAATTTCTACTCAAGCCTAATTTGCCAGAGCCATCTAGCAGTTAATCAGGAGACTTGGGTGAGAAATGCCAACTAAATTTTGCTCACGAAACATGTATCATGCTCGTAAGGTTATTTTACATGCAGTAAATCTATGACATGGGACCGCCGGCTTTACTTCCCCTCCGAAGGAAGTTGTGCTACAGATTTTTATCACCCTTAAAAAGCCATCGACCTCAGCTGGGATTGAACCCGCAAACCTTGGGTCCAGTGGTGAGCACGCTAACCACTAGTCCACCAAGGGCGAAATTTTTCTGAAAATATAATGTAAAAAGGTATATTTACTTATTTCACATTTGAAATATACGCACAAAAATGAAACAATTGATGTATATCGATGAAAAACATTTAATCATACTGTGCAAAGTATTCTTTGTATAGTTGCAATGATTATTATCCTGAGTTAACTCAGGTTATTAACACCATGTATAAAAATTATCTTCTCTACAATCACAGCACACAAAAAACACTGGGAAATTAAGACATGTACTACAGAAGCATAAATGTCCCATTCAAATGCAATGTTGCATAGAAATATAAAAATCATGTGGCTTAATAAATTACAGCTATCATTTACCAACATGTAGACATATTTTCTTCACGACACAGATTATCTCAGTGTAATAATAGTACACACACAAAAAAAAAATTGTCTGGAAATTCTTGCACAGCTTTACAGTTAGACGGTTCAATACTAAAAACAGACAGGATCACACTTATGCTTTCTGAGTCCTTTGGACCAGGTGAACTGTTTTCCACATCGTGTGCAAGAGTGACGCTTCTCCCCAGTGTGTGTTAACCTGTGCTCTTTTAGCCCATCATTCCTAGCAAATCTCTTCCCACAAACATCACAACTGTATGGCCGTTCACCAGTATGAAGCCGCTGGTGATTTGTTAGGATGGCAGCTGTCTTGAATCTTTTATCACAAATATCACATATAAAATTCTTATCATTACTATGTGTTAAACGGTGTCTCTTGAGGTCTACATTAACTGTAAAAGCCTTTCCACATATTTCACACATGTGTGGTTTGATTTTTGTATGCGAGGCTTTGTGACGTTCAAAATTCCCCTTCGAGAAGGAACGATGCCCACAGATGTCGCATACAAAAGAATTCTGTCCCTTGTGAATGTTCAGGTGATATGCCAAACTATTGCTATACATGAATGTCTTTCCGCAGAGGTTACAAATGTGGGGTTTCTCACCCGTGTGTTTACGCATGTGCACATCCCGATGTATCTCTGCTGAGAAATAATTTCCACAAAAATTACACTGATATTTCCCAGTGTGGTAAGCAGCATGGGACCTTATTGTCTTCATTAATGCAAACTCATTTCCACATATGTTGCATATATAACATTTGGAATTCATGGAATGGCATATGTGGAATAAGAGGTTGATGTCCATTGCGTAAGTATTTCCACATTTATGGCATTTATAATATCTGTTTGAAGAATTGACATAGTCACTGAGGTTACATTTGGCATTCTGTGATATAGTTGGAGTATTATTCTCATCCATTTTATTGTCTGGAATGTGAGTGTGTGTTACTTGATACTTTGTTACCATGTCTCCATTGCAGTTATTGTCTGAAGAATCTGTTTCTGTTTGCAGCAAAATGTTTTCAGTACCAGTCCCTGAAACATGGGTTTTCTGTTTCTCCTCTGGATTAAACACTACACATGGATGTCTGCCTTTACAACATTTGTAACTAGGTAAGTCAACACTTAGAATCTGATGCACACTCTCATCAACAGTACTAACTGTATCTTTCTCTTGTCTATTGCTACTGCAGAATAAAGATTCCCTTGCTTGTAGGGGACCACCACTTTCTAAGAATGCTTCAGGTAATGTCCCAAAATGATGTTCAGTGCTTTGGTTTTCTTGACATTGGAGACTGCTGTGTTTGTTGTTGTAACTTTTGCTGCTGTCTTCATTGTGTTTGGGCTCCTCCTTGACTCCTTCTGGGTTGCTTCTAACTCCAAACAACAGATTAGCAGACAGGGGTAGCAGCAGCATGTCAGGGGTTGGATTTGAAATCAAGTTTGTCTGTGCTGTGGTGCTCTGAAACTGCAAACTGAAATGTATGCTTCCAAATAAAGATATTACATGCAGTATGCAGACAACAGACTGAACTGTAGGTTATTTAATGACTGTTTCAATTGAATATGTCAAATAAGTTGTGAGAATGTATATACACAGTGAAGTAAGAGGGATGATGGAGAAACTGTTGTGGCCTGTTTCTATAAACTGTCTCAGGTTCTGTGTGAAATATATGAGGAAAGTGGTGAAAATCCTCTGTCAGGGTAAGCACTGTAACTCAAACTGAGTACTATCATTTCATTTTGCAAATTGGCTATAATGTGATTAATTTGTAATAGGAAGCTGTTTCCGTAACTTGGGCGCATGTTGGATGTAATGTGATAATTAATAAGGCAAATAAGGAAATTCAGAGAATTAAACCATAAACCAGGTATGAAAACTTATTATTAAAATGTAATGCATTTTAATTAAAAATATGACTACTGTAGAGAAATTATATTTGTGATGGTTAATCCAAACTCTTAGTTCCTAACCCCTTAATTCCAATAAGTGTTTTCTAGGAATGCAACTATCACATTATAGGAAAAATGGTTGTACTTCCAAATATGATAACTAAACTAACCTCGAGTGTGAGTGAGAGATGGTTGCACTAGGAAGAAGACAGAATTAATGTGATACAAGCAAATAGGATATATATGATACACTGGCTCTTCATACTGAAATGAATCAATATTGGTCCCATTTATTTTGCATTGTTACTTGTGGCTGGATAGACAGAAGGGCCCAATAAAACTAAATGGGTTTTTACTTTGAGCTAGTGAAACTAATACAAGGGAAGATACTGATGTAAACTTTACTGTATCTTACTTGATTCTGTTCTAATTTGCTGATATACTGACGCAGAAACACATCAGCATTCTTGCACAGTTCTCTGAATTTATACCATTTATTCACTTGGTGGAGGCATTTGTGGCATATTTGTTGTGGTAGGCCATCTCCTGCAGACACCTGAAATGTTTGATATTGTGGTTTGGAAATGATGATGTACTGGAAGTCAAGGTTTAAGAGTACAATATGCAGAGCAAGCTAAATAATCCAAAGCTTTTTTGACAGGATATTTCCTTGAGTTGGTTTCCAGAGCAAGAAACACTCATAAATTGTGCTGTCATGATAAATTTGACGTTCACTAACTACAGTGAAAACTGATAGGAATGTCAAGTACCAGAGATCATGATGATGTATTTTCAAATAGATCCCCTGTTTCTAAAAATGCAGCTGATCCTAAAGTCAGTTATTCATGCTTATAGATGTACTTGCAAATATGTGTAACTGCCCGCTAGCTTTGTTATTTAAAGTGTTACTTGAGGTAGGTCACAGTATTGTTACACAGAATAGCACCACCACTCTATCTTGAGAAGTTAATAGTTACTCACCTAGCCAAGATAATCCCATTTAAAATGGGACTCAAAGGTTATTTACCATGTTCACAAATGCCTATTACTTGACCATGAATTAGTACATATCTTCAAATTGTATGTTTTAAGATTAATTTTAATATTGTCCTCCCATATATACTGTGGTCTCCCACATATATGTCACCATACTATGATTCACTCAACATAAATATCACTTCCAACACCACTTCCATTAGTGAATTTTCCAAGTGTTTGATACCCTTCCATTGTTTGCAAGTGGAACACTATGTGACCATCTTGGTTTGATTCATGTCCCTTTCCAATCATATTACACAACTTCAGCTCTCAAGGAGGAAGCAGTGGGTTTACCCAAATGTTGGTAACTATCTATATGACTACATGGCATCACAACGTCACTTTGTGTTGTGCAACCTTAGAACTAGTATGTATGCAGGGGACAACAACATTGGTGTGGATAAGAAATGCATATAAAATTTGTCAGAAAATCTAAAGGGAAGAAATCATGTGGTCAAAATCTATCCCACTTTTATGTGAATGATCATTTTAATATTTTGCTATCCCTTGTTTGCTTTGTGCAAGATATAGTTGGTGTAACAGCAGCATTAATTCAAGGTTATTTTATCAGCCTAAGCAGTGTACACGAATTTTGAATCGGAAACAATGGCAATGTTACTGGTGCAACAACCACAACTGTTGCGAAATAATATGAACTACTGGGCAGACAGAACGTTACTCATAGGAAGCTAACCTCAATCGAGACGCACACCATGATTCGATCAGCTGTTGTAAAGTTTTTCTCATCAAATATTGCGGACATTGTACCTTCTTTCAGTAAACACAATCGACATAGTTTGGTTATATTAAACATTCTATCTCTGCGTTGGATTTACGGACTGAAAGAAATCCATACAACGTAATACTGTATCAGGTTTCTTATTTACCATCGTTTTTTTTCCCACATGCGAGAGATACACATTTACACGAACACTTTGTCTTTGTTTATATGGGTCAAGCTGACTGCATATGTGGGGACATCTTTGCATGATTCACAAGAACTACTGATAACTGACTAGATCGCATGAAGATGGTTCATTAACCAAAACTCCCTGACCGTGCTTGTATAGGGCCAGCAATATATAATCGCCCAAGAATTTCTAATATTTTACTTTTCACAAGAGATGTAAGAAGTCTGCGGTTGACAAGACAGGTAATGTACTGAACCAATCACAAAGCAACTGTAAGTTTTTCGTAATTTCGTTGCTGTGCCGCGATCATATCCATGGTGCTTCTCATGTCAGATCGCATATGAAGTGTGTTCCGTGCCGCATGACTGTAATTAGCAACTAGCTGCCCAAGACATCATAATTACGATGACAGACAGATGTATGGGATATTAATAGAGCGGTTTGGTATTATTTTAACCCTTCAGGAGAAAATCACATGTATTATGTTTACTGAGGGATTCTGTGCTGTTATGGTCTTTTAATTTTATGTTAACTGTCAATAAGTATTGTAATCTAGAGCGTAACCTACATGTGATACAGGAAGAACTAACTCCCTTGTAGCAGAACCCGCAGGTTTAACACTGATATCAGCAAAGCCCGCCACCGGCCATGATCCTGAGCCAATGCCATCCATTAGTCATTCTCACAGTCCACCTCCTAAAATCCATCTTGATGTTATCCTCCCATCTCCTTGGTCTGCCCAGTGGTCACTTGGACCATTGTGAAAATGGGTGAATTATGATAAAAATATTTCAATTTAGGTTGATGCTATGTATGATTTGAATAGTTTTAAAATTAATGAATTTGGTACAGTGCCTATTAACTCATAACTCATGACTCATTCTTGGGAAATTTAACTATAGGTACTAACAAAACATTAAAATTTTCTTATTTGGTATAATTCACTTTGATGGTAATAGTTAATATATTTCAGTATTTATCATGTTACTCTTCTTGGTGATTGTTGTCAGGTGTGGACTAGCTGTAAACAAAAATTGTTGAGCCATTCAACAAGAAAGAGCTGCAGACTGCGATGCAATCTGACCACCATGCAACTTCAGATCTTTTGAACTATATGGCTTTTATACAGCTTTTGTCACATTGACTGGGAGCAAAGATACAGGATTCTAACTCAGATATCATCATGGCAGCATAGAGCGTGAGTGAACTAAGTTTGCTTTTGTAGCTGTGTTTATTAATATATTCACTGCCACATACATATAATTAACATTATGGATTGGCTAGATTTTCTCAACATGAAACAAAAAAATTGTTTTAGGTGGAGCTTCTGCAGAGGATACTGAGTCATAAGTTGCAAGAGGACCTAGGAGTGATGTCACATCACAATTCTTCCAGTTACGTGGATTTGTCGACTCAAGAAAAGTAGCACCTGGCAGGCTGTTACCAGTCTTTTGGCACAGGAACTGGCTGAGGCAGCACAGGGTGAGTGTGCTTTATTAGTTGAGTTCAGGTTACAATGACATACTCTTCTGGGTTGTATTGCCAAATCTGATAGAGGTTTATTGACATTTCATAGGTGTTTGCTACATCCATCATTACTCATTACTCTGATGATGGAAACACCAACCATAACTGAAACATCTCCAGACATTTACCAAACTGCATGGCAGAACAGCCCAGAGGAGAAGAATTTTTGGTTTATTGGTTAAAGGTTCTTTTCTTGACTGTACCTTTCTCTCTGACAAAAGATCTGTTGTTACTCCTAAAGATTCATTATATCTTATAAATACAATCATAATTCAGTTGCAACCATTCATTTACGAACAGAACAAAGCACCATGACAAAATCAATACTGACCAATCTTCTCTTACGGCTCTCGGCGTTGATCGCATTCACGGACTAATATAAGGGTCACAGAAATCATACGTTGTACATTTTATTTAGCACTTCATACAGTAGAGTAGGTCAATGGGTAAAGTGTATATCCTTAAATAGTTATGTAGCTGTATTCTTGACATATGTAGTTGTACCCGTGCGCCATCTCTACACGTTGTATGAAATATCTTGGTACCAATCCAGCCGTGTTCTATGCGTAATGTGTGGCAAATAAATTTAAACAATTTTTTATTGAATCGATACATATAGAGTATTAAATTGTTAAAGGGAATGAAATCATTCAATTAAATATACTATTTCTATTCAGTCGCAACATCTCCATTTATGTGTGATGTATTCTACACACGGATCATCGTGTATAAAGCTGCAACTACTTTGATAATTATGATCGCTATCACACGTTTTGCAATAAAAATACTGCTTTGACTCTGTTAATTTAGTCGCTCTGTGATGTATTTCCACACATGTTGGAACTACTTACGAAATACAGACATATGTGTGCGCTCATAACTTCCTTACAGTGAAGTGGTAGTGGCCGAATCCGTGACTTGGACCCTGTCCATGTCACGTCACGGTGTGATTTTTTTTGACGAAAATTAAACTACAATATTTGAGCGGATCATATTATACAGAATAATTTATTCTCTGCGTCACTTCCATAGGTATTTGTTATAAGGATTTTAGATAGTTGGTTACTAAAGAAATCTTAATGTAACATGTCACATTTCACATCACATGTTTGTCCACTGTTGTCTTGTATAATTAAATATGTTATCGTCACATAGACAAAAATTATTAAAATCCTTGATGGGATTTCATTTTCAACATCATGGAGATATTACAGTGATCTCACTTACCATTTCAAAATAATTACTTATTTGTACAAGTCAAGTACACACACGTCCAGATGCTGCACACCAATAAATCTGGAAGCTATTTAGGTGTTACTCACACAAAAGTACGTATTAATCGGCACACATATATCGAAAATTATTACTCCGGCGTCTTAACGACACGTATTTACGAATCACAGATAGACATAAGTTAGTAAGTGTAACATTTTTGTGGTCTCCATTTTGATTACATCAATGAAAAAACATCCCACTGCTCCACGACGAAATCAATATTGAACGACAGTCTACATTCGTGAAACTCGTTCATCGACCAATATTAATATCGCACGAATCATACGTCGTAAGTGTTATGTCGTGACTTCTAGATCAAAGTATCATGTATTCTATGCGCGAATAGCCGCTACTATGATAATAGATGTTTTCACTATCGCAGTTTCTCGATTAAAGTGTTTTCCCTCCTTCAGTTTATATGAATTTTGATGTAATTGGACACATGTCATTTTCTACGAAATATGAGCATATATATGTCCATAATATTTATTATGAAGTGGCCGTGGCCGATTTCGAGTGCTTCAGCTCGCGACTTTGACGTGTTGGTATGATTTTATTACATGCGTATCGAGATATTACAAACATCCGGCTTGTCAGAATGTTATGTGTATACATATGCATACACTCACGTCACTCTGCATCTTCGCCGTAAAAATCTTTCTGCACTCATTTTGTGCATTTTGACGTATCTGTGCACGTATAGGCACCACTCACAAAATATAAACAAACGTCTTTGTGCATAATTCCTTGTTGATAAATATGGATGTTGGTGAGCGTGGCCGATTTCGCATTTGTTCCATCTCGCGAATTTGATGCCTTCGTGTGAATTAATTACAAGTTTTACGACACGAAAGAGTATGAATTTTTATTACTTATATGTGGCACGACGTCCATACGGAATTTCAGCAATTTCCGTCCATCCATTGTCTATTTCGAAAATTCGTGCGCAGGTCGTCTTGTTCAGCTGACGCAGAATACACGTGTTGGGTTGAGTTGGGTTAGGTTAGGTTAATGGGCATCTGCGCAGAAGTTTATGCGCAGTGGCGTGATGCAGATTGTCTATGTTAAGGCCTCGTATGAGTTCTATTATCGATTGCGGGAAATTAAACACTGAAATATTTCAATTTTCTTAAATTATGGAACAATCTTGTGTTTGAGTCAGTACCATGGCTTTATACTTCAAAGATTTTACATTGGTTACCTACTTGTGGACCTCGCAACACAATTGGCTCACGTCACTTATGCTTGTTTTTACGTAATTGTGGTTGTTGAATTGTATTTTGTGGTCTTCTTACGCTTAAATATTATTAATACACATGC